ATCTTAGTTTCACAATATGTACAGGTTACGCTATATTTGTCATTAAATTCTTGTTTCGGATAAGGAAAACATCAAGAAGAGCAACTAAGGAGGGATAGCTTTCCCGCTAGACAGACATTAGATGTTGGTGTGCATAATTATATAAAATTAACAATAAAGATGCTTAAACTTTCAGAATTAGGCAGTATAAGCAGATGACTAACACGATGTGACATGACAACGTGCAGCTTACAGATTTTGCTAAACAGATAGACCCTGTCCCACCCACTCTTCAAGACATGCAAGTGCAAACTTGTGTGGAAAAACATTCTTTTTCGAGTAGATAAAGAAATACTTTCAAAGAATCAGCGGTCGTGTTTTTGCAGTTGAGTCCAGACTATTTTCTGTCTTCTTGTAACAAGAATACTGAGCTCATTCACTGTCACTGTATGACAGGTGGCCAGTCAGCTGAGGAATGTCAAAGGCAAAGCTGCAGCTCTATTAACAACAACATTCACTGCTGCTGTGCGACTAGTCCTCTCTCTGCATGTCCGTGGGCTAAACATGGGTTTTATAATTTCTGACAGATCAACACCGTCCATTTCAACACTCTCATGTGTCACAGTGATGGCTTTCCAATGCTCCTATAGTGCATTCCCACAAATATCATATTAATAACCCTGTGAAACCTTTTCAAATAAATGCTGACCTGTAAGATTTAACATATCCAGGATGGTACAGTAATATAATAAAAATCAAAATAAACTTTTGTATTGTAATTAATAGTTTATTTTTGCTAGTTTTATTTAGGTTAGCTAAAAAAAATTACACGTAGGTTTCTGGAGGGTTTTTGTTACTTTTTAACTACTCTAACTCGTAAACATCTGTGTAGCCTCACCTGAGGTTATGAATGCCCTGACACCTGGCCAGAACTATTAAACACTCCAGCTCCATGGAGCACGCTCCGAAGTCCAGACCGATGTCATTATGATCGGCTGAATTAACTACGAAAGCCAGAGCTTCGATATCATTCGGTAACAGCCAGATGTTGCGCAGCTCCAGTTTGGGTCTCACACCAAAAACCTGCTTGGCGAGTTGGTGGTTCTGGCTCTCCTGAACACTGTGGCAAAGCTGGAGTATCTGGCAAAATATGGCAAAGAAAAGATCAGTAACAAAGAGACAAAAAATAAAATCTGTTTTCTGTTTTTCATTCTACCTTTGGTCCGGTCAGAGTGTTACTGTTACACATGGATTTGAGCAATGTCAGAACAAGGTCTTGTCGTTTCTGGACCCAACTTTGGGCTCTACCAGAAACCTTGGCTAACTCAACCAGGGCTGGAGTGCATT